AAATGTATATAAATAAATAAATAACTAATAATGACTTCGATCGTCTTTAATTATGCAATTTTGAAAACAACAACTAAATATCGAACACAAGAAACGGTTACGATCGGAGATAAGTATATAGTATGAAGTACTAATAGCTTACATTCTTCAAAAAAAAAAAAAAATGATTTATTTCGTATTTCCTTCACATTACAAAACGATAGTCGGAAACGATGACGTAATTAGAGTATCTTTATTGGTTGATTTTCTACTCGTTTAGTAAAAATTATTTTTTGTCGTCCTAAACATTTTTATTGAGATTTACTAGCCAAAAAATACGTGTTTGGCAGAAGAAAAATTTAAACACAATTAAGATACGGTCTATCGGATAAGGGGCGTGTCGCCATGGGTTACATGTGCGTACTCGTGGGCATAAAAAACGAATGCACGCGGTTCGTTCCCAAAACTTTATCGTGGTTTGGCGTGTTGCCACTGTAGTCGTAGGCCACCATGGGAAGCTGCAATGATAGTAATAACAATAATGGTTTGGATAGGTAGACAATTCTCGTGGTAGCTATCGTCTCATTACCGTTGTCGGTCAGTGGTGTTCGCAAGAAATTGGTATGAGGGGTGGGATTTCATAAATAAAAATGTATTATTTTCATTCTTTATTCTTTATTATTATATAAAAAAAAATTCAATCTAGGCGAAAATCCTTCTGGCTTTGACACTAAATTCATCAATTATTTGTTCAATAGATAATGGAATATCTCGATGTATGTTCATTAACGCCAATCCATTTAACTGTGACTGCCCCGTCGTATTTTCTTAAATACGTTTTTAAATTTTTAAGACTAAAAAAAAAAAAAAAACTCATGGGGGATATATTCCCCATCATCCCCCCCTGCACACGCAACTGTCGTCGGTGACCACGTCTGTTGCAACTATATAACAGCAGACACTACCGACCCCGATAACTTTAATCAGTTTATTGAATACGTTTTGCACGACGCTTAATGGATGTTTTGTAAATTACGTACATAATTTTATACTTACACGACGAACATAATAGTATAATAATTATAATAATAATATTTATATAATTAAACCGATGGAAGCACGATGTCGATTTAAATGAAATCCTATCCACGCTCGTATACAGTCACGTAGGTGAATAGAGAGGAACGGAGGGGAAGGTAGCAACTATGACATCAGACTTTTTTATTTCAAAATCAACGTGAGTATTAATTTTATAAAAAATATTGGTTTTATCTTTATATTAAAACATATACCTATATACATTTGAGTACAACATACGAGTAGTACATTTTTTTCGTTTGCTTTAGATATTCATTTTCATATTAAATCGCCGAAAAAAAAAAAGTTTTCCCTCCTTAACCTTCTTGATCCATATAATGCCTTCCGATTCTAATTTTATATCTACTTGTAGAATCACCAAAAAAAAAAAAAATAAAAAAATACTTTTAATGCAGATTTATAACCTAAAAGTTTGGAGAACAAAACTAAAAAGCAGAATCACATCTAAATACATGGTATATTTAATTGAAAATCAAAAAAGATGTGTATAATACAATTTTATTTATTTAGAAATTGAAATTCATCCAACACTCGTATAAAACGATACGCCACTAGATTATACCATATACTTATTATTTATAATATTTATAGTATACGTACTTATAAACTTAATTTATATAATATTTGTAGCACAAGTCCCCTCCTCCTCTTTTCGTCAACTTTTTAAATATCGAATTAAGACTATTAATAATCTTAGAGTTTTGTATTAAGTTTTTTTTCTGTGAAATATTAAAATTTTAATTTTCACACAACTTCTTTTTTTCTATTAATTATGAGACTGATTTCACAAAACTTATTTTATTTTAATTATGTATTAATATGACTAGAATTTGAGATAGTAGATTAAATTACTTAAAAAAAAAAGTATAAGTGATCAGACCAATTTTTATAAAACACTTGGAATACTCAAAAAATCAGATAATTTTTTTTTAAATGACATATTATAATTGAATTCACATGTGATACTATTTAAATTGGACAACGATTTTGAAAATTCACGGCAGCGCCGATGTAAAAAAACGAGCGAATTCATATTGTTATGGAATAAAAAATTCACGAATAACCTATTCCATTTAAAATATTAGCTTCTGTCACATGGCATTTTATATTATAATAATATATTCAACACTATTCCACATGAAACTGGATCTGATATTTAGTATTTGTTAAATTTGATCATTCATGGAAATGCTATATTAAATCGCGTATATCGTACATTTGTATACGTTTTAACCTGTGATTCGATTTCTATAGTTTTCAATAAATATTTTATGGATGTTAATTATTAACTATAAAATAAAAGTTCGGTTAAAATTTAATTCGCATATTATAATACCATAAAATGTAATTTTATAAACCATTATTTACTCAATTTTTTTCAGAATTAAATAAAATACAATATAAAGTTTTTTTTTCTCAAATTGTACTGAGTTATACTTTATTTATTTGCATAAAAAATGTGATTTCTTGTTAATTAAATTAATCAAAGTGTTTATTTGTTGTTTATGGTCATTTGATTCCATTATAATTTAATTATCACAATTAGTACCTACTTTGACAGCGGAATAAAACGAACGAAAGATAAATTAGAATCCCACAGAATAAAACAAACGTTTATGGCTAATAATAATGAATACAAATTAGACCACACCGTTCGGTTATAACATTACGACTAAATTCATTACAAAAAAGTTTATATATTTATATATAATACTTTTTGAAAACCAAGTTTTGATTATTTCTTATTTTTACCATACTTTAAGATCAAAAATCTAATTATAATCCTTGAAATTTACAATTTTTTAGTAAAATAAAACACCAACACTACGCAATCGAATTATTACAACAGATATTACTATTAGGATATATTGTTGTAAATTTAAAAAATCATTTGGAACAACATACACACATCATTATAATAATTAAATATATTACGAAGTGCCTATATTATTATAGTATCACAGAAACAATTTAACACGGTAACGACGATGTATTAATATGGTTTTAGTTTCAAAATAATTTCGCAAAATTATAGGTACATTTATATTTGATGTGTATATTTGTGTATAATTACTTTTCGCCGTTAACACCATGAGGCGAATTTGTCGTGAATATATATACATAAATATAAGTATAGTCGATGTACTCTATTGTAGTCGTGTCCATGGTTCAATGAATAGGTACAAAACTCGTACGTAATGTTATGAACACAGCCGGTTATCGGTCCTATAACAGAATCAAATAATTTTGCCTGGTACAGTCGGTGTTTGAACTGATAATAGTATTTAGTATTCTATACATTAAAACACTTGTCCGCATTATCAGTGCCATTTCATTATGCTTCGATTCTAAATTTCTTGTCCCGAATACTACTACAATATAGTTTATATGTGTACTGCCGCCGCATGTGTAACCGATATGAAAATAATATATAGTACGTTCATGGTAAATCTTTATAAGCCCCAATCCCCAGACAAAACTCAATACCGTATTGTTTTAACACTGTTTGGACTGTACAGTAATCGTAAGGCCGTATCGATTGCGTAATTTTCTCACGAACAGCACCATTATTATTAGCGTAATTCAAATATATACCACTGAAAAAGCGTTATCAAATATTATTATTTAATTATTTTATTATGGACGTTGAATAACGTGAATAATATTATAATAAAACGGTTTGAATGAAAATCACGTTTCAAAAGTTAAAATGATACGGAAATAAAATTGCTTTCGAAATGGTTGAATTGAAAATTCCGTAGGGAACGGGTATCTGTCGAGATATGGGTATAGGTTAGGTGTTGTACATAAGAAATGATGAATCGTCAAAATTTCATTTAGACCTCGGTTCCATGGTTTACTTTATATAAATTTGATGTTTGTCAAGATTTTTCAGATAATATGTAATGCAATAAAAATGCGATAAAAGAATAGTTTTAATGATAAAATCTACCGGTTGAATTTAATTAAGCATTTATTGATATACATATACATTTCTTGAATCCAACATAAATATTAAATATTTGAAGAACATAAATTATAATTATTATTTAAAAAGAATTAAATATCATTAAATTATACTCTAGTGAGTCAACTCTTTAAAATTATTAATCAGTTATGGTTTATTTTTTTTTAATTTACCGTTAAATTACTGATAATAGGTTAATCCCTTATATTTTAAATTTTTTAGAAATACGAATAAACCATTAATCAAATGAATTGCCGATTCGACTTTTATCGATGTGTTATATGCACATTATCGTTTCCTAAAACTATTAAAACGTACCGTCGTACCAATAACGTGGTCCGTCGGAATGAATAATTGTATGTTATCCATGACTACGAAGACGTATAACAACAACGATTTTTATCCCACACCAATAAACAATAATAACAACAATGATATATGTTACGCTATTTCAACGTTTCTATACCTTTTCCGGTTTTTTTCCGCGTTTGTTTTACTTTTCTCGTGCGATCCGCTTCGTTTCGTGATGTCCGTTCTGAACGATTTCAACACCTGGTCGTTTCTTTTTTCTCTCCTTTCGTTCCGAGCTCGACGCACGATGGGACCGTTTTACTGGTTTCTGTATTCTTTGCTGCTCAGCTCGGCTCCGCACGCGTCGTCCGACGAACGCCACGCACGTGGACCCGTGGACGAGACGGCGGGCTACGGGAATGCGGACCGCGGAAACGCACTCCCGCCGGACCGGGGTAAGTTGTTTCGGCCAACCCGCGTTCGCATTGGGTACCTACAGGGTACGTACAGCGCGAAAACTTTTGGCCCTAACGTGGTACGCTCACCCCTCTTATCATTCCGAGCCTATCCGCACCCGCCACGTATGGTCTGCGGATCTAAGGGTCTTCGCGCGAGACGTTATCGGTCCGTGGCCGGACGTGTAACACTTTACGAGTCGTGAGAACAGTGTTTTGACGGTCGGGTACGGCGATTGGGCTTACTCATCGAGTCATCGGTCTTATCGGTAAACGTGACACGAGTCGAAGGGATTAGAAACGATCGCGCGTCCGTCGATCGACAGTTGGGTAAGCGGCGCAATCCCGAAACGCTCGGCTAGCACACCCGACCCCGCGACGCTCGCTAAGCATACGAGTCGTATACGATCGGCTTTATCCGCGATTGTGTGTTGCAGGCGAAGCGCGGCCCGTCCATAAACCGGTTCAGCGGCTGCAGAACATCGATCGCCGCCGGGACACGTCTCCGGCCGTCGTCGGCCACGCGGACGGAAAGCCGGTCGGATGGCGTGACGATGCGGCCGCGTCCCTCATCGCTGGAGCACGGCAATCGGATAACCGCGGTAAGTCACGGTTCCGTGCGGACGTAATGTTCGCGCGGCGCCACACGTTTTCGCACGGTCAAACACGTTTACGTCAGCGGTATTCGCGACAGCTGCACGCGGTTCTCGGGCGATCCCTTCTCTCGCGTCAAACGCCCTATTCCACCCGTCGATCCGCTTCGACCGCATGGCGTTTGCGCCAGACGCGAGTTCTCGATTAGGTTTATTATTTTTTTCCTCTCCGAAAACATCGGAGTCGTTGCTTTTCTCGAAGTCGCACAGCGGTCGGAAGTTCGCATTTTTTTTTCAATAATCGATGCGAAGGTAACACTTGTTTTAATAACACTACGATGTAATTCAAACGATGATCCAAGTGTAACGGAGTCTGCATCCGATTGTAATGTAAAACAATGATTTTTTTTTACATTTATTAAATCTATTACTCAACACATTATATATAGTCATATTTTTTCATTATTATTTATTATTGTCAGTTATAACTAAAATTATAGCATAAAAAATAATTGTATGTCGCTGAATATTCATTCCAGACCACTGTACACCGGATAGTATTGAACGATTAAAAAAAAAACTAGCAATGATATTGTACCGCTGTCCGTTGACTGCGACGTGAACACGTTATTCGGAGGTAATTCTGATATTCGGTACACGAAATTACCACCATATGGTTTAATCATGTAGTTTTATCATATAGTTTAACGGTTTGATCATCGCGTAATATGGCTTCGACAAACAATGGTGTTCGAGTGCTGACAAAAATATACTTTACCGTCTTTCGGTGAGAACGTTTTTTCAAAGTTTTTCTGTTGAAAATGAATATACTTCATCCGTGTTTGGTATAAAATATTTTTAACCATGGAATTATTTTTTAAATATACATTTTCATCTACTCACTCGTTTTGTTAATTTTTTGATTTTTAATCGTTATGAAATTCCGGAAACGTAGTATGCAGATTCTTTACGTGCCTTTCCAATAGTATAAAATCGAGATTTTACATAGGGTTCAAAATAAAAAACGCGACACAAATATTGTAGTAATATTTTTATTTATTCAAGTATGTACGATTGTTTTTTTGTTGTGCAAAAGTAAAATTCCATTATGAGTTATTAAAATTTTTGGTAGCATACGATTTAGAATAAAAAAAAAAAAAAGTTACAACATTGATAACAAAACGCTTTATTATTAATTTAAATTTTAATGTATCGGAAATTATTCTGGTAATGTATAATAAAAAAAATCCAATACAATTACAGCTTAAACATTACACTTTATTTATTGTGTTTAAAAAATGTTAATGAAGTATTATTAAAACGTACTAACAATTAATTATAATGTCCTTTTTTTTAAAGGTATAATTAGCTATAAAATGTACTGTTGTTACAAAATTGTCATAATACTTAAATTACTTATTGTAAAATACTTAAAATGCAATATTTTAATAAAAGTTGGTATTTAAATATATTTTAAAAATACATTAGGGGACCTTATATCAATTTCACTATTACTTACTGAAAAAAATCGGTTAATAGTAGATTAGTTTTATACAGATTATAATCATATTACAGTAAAACCTCGATAAGACAGAACTTCGGTAGGACGGAAACCTCGGTATAACGGAACATTATTTTGGTTCCGTTTCAAATTACATACAATTAATTAACCCCGTCAAGACGGAAACCTCGTTAACACGGAAAAATATCATGGTCCAAAGATGATGATCATCGTCTTATCGAAGTTTTACTGTAATAATTAATAATTCAAATTTGTATATAATGCATAAGGCAAAATGATCTATATTTTAATGTTGGTATTTTTTTCAATAATACAAACTTGATTTATGACTTGTGTTTACTAATAAATTCAAATATATTGGTTTAGTAACAATTTTTAGACTCAATGAAATTAAATATGCATTGATTTTACTATGATGTGTTTTATAATAAAAAATTGTACATGCATTTGAATATTAAATTTTGAGAAAAGATTAAAATCATGAAAATCCACTACATTATCGTTGTTAAAACTTCATACAATTTTAATTTATTATACTTATTTACACTTTATACTTTTTAGGCAATCAAATTTTGAACAAGTTTTGTTATGATTTAATTTGTAGCATAAAAAAAAAATTAAAAAAAATATCGGAAATCCACAAAAATGTTATATAATACTTAAACATTGATATTTTTGACAAAATTGGATATTTTAACAAATAATATTGGATATTGAGCTGACAACATGAAGTTTGTGGTGCTCAGGCACTTGAAAATTTCGTTTTTCCAAAATTGTAGATATTCTTTTTTGCGAAAAAAGTTAGAACATTAAAAGTTCAACCCACTTTGTTAAGAAATATTATTCTATTTCATCTATATCGACCATCTACAGAAACATTAACTGATCTAACCAGTATCATTCACTCAAATATGTTTTTCGACAGAAATGGTACAATTGTTTCATCTTAACAGATATACCATTCACAATCCCTATTTAACCTAATCATGGAGTTTCATCCGATTTAAAAGTCCCGCCCTTTTTTTTTTTTTTTGATTTAGTTAATATAAAATACATTTCTGACATACAACACATGGATTATTTTTTAAATTTTGTGTGAACAATTATCTATTATTTTTTTTTAATATTTATATATATATATATATATATATATAGTTTTAATATTATTATTTCCCAATTATCGGGAAAAATATGTTCTACATTCGATAAATGATCATTGTATAATATGAAATTGTAGCTCGTGTTAGGCTAGTCAGGTTAGAAAATAAAACGTGGTTTCACTTAAAAGACAATAATTTAAATTTTCTAGTGTTATCCGAATCAAAAAATGGCGTTGTGAATGAAGGATGGATTTCGTATCAAGTCTTAGGAGGACTACAGTCGATGCCCCTAACGGAAGCGTCGCAGTCTATACAAAAGCACAACTCGGACTCTAACTTACCTCGTTGGTCGGCTACCGAACGCCGACGTTGGTTCGTGTCACTAAATCCATTGAACAAAACTCGATCTATTACTCGAAGACGGCCATCATCATCTCCGTTTCCTTCCCCATCCACGCAACCCTCCTCATCCCCCAACCCTTCTCCATCCCCGAAACCATACCCGTCTTCGTATCCTACCCCGTTCACGTATCCTTCTTCAACCCCAAATCCTCTCTTACCATCACCATATGTTTATACGATCATGCATCCCTCCTCGTCCTTTGCATCACCGCTCAAAAGTTGGATATCGTTGTCGCCGTCACCATATCAAAACAATTGGATTTCACCGCAGCCGCAACCATCGTCATCGAGCCCGAGCTGGATCTCGGAAAAAGTTCAGGCCGCAACCATGGTTACCAGTGACAACTGGGTCGGCGGTAATAAAGACTTGCTGGCAAAGTTCAGGACAATCATAACGGTGGCACCGTCACCATTAAACCACGGCGATTTTGCCACAAAAACTTACCTGATGGTGTTTGACGAACACGGGATGATGCACATGAACTCCACCGCCGGTGTTGCGTACGGGGACAATATAAAACAGAAAAACAGATGAATCGTCGCCGGAAATTATGGGAGTCGGTTGGTCAGGTGAAAGAATCGCTAAAGCGGATCTGCGGACAACAATAATAAAACACACACGGGATATGAACAATATTATCACTTTATTATTGCGTACATAGTCGGTCGTTCAAAATGCATTATTTTGTTCATTTAACGACGTGTACTGCATAAATTATTTGACTTCCGACATACCACGCGAGTATATTAAAATATTATGGTCATCATAACTTTTATCCCATAGTACTAATATCTTTTATAGATTTTATTATTATCGTAGTTGAGAAGTGAACTTGCAAATATCTGATTGTATAAAGTATTAACATTATATTAAGCATCTACAAGAGTGTTTAAAATTATGACTCAAAATAAAATTATGAAATTATAATTTAAAATTATATGATGATTATACATATATATATATATATATATACGATCTTCGTTGTTTAAAACTTACAAGTTACAAATATGCATTTATATTAATATGGATTATAAAATTGACAAAAAATATGAATAACTGTAAGATCCGTTGTTTTATTTAATTTTTTAATTTTTCATGTACTCAAAATATCACAATTTATATTATAGTTATAGAATATAGCAATAATTTGCTATTCATTTTGACCGTTTAACATAGCTATCGAATTTCACCGTATTAAACTAAACATTTGCGCCCAGATCAAAGATTTGAAAAACGCCTTAAGCCTATAATGATGTTAAGTAACGATTTGTTGACGTCTTTATAAGTAACGAAATTTAACGAAACCCCATCTCATCTAGACAACCCTATAGTCTGTGAGGTAACACAAACGAAACGAGTATAAACAAATAACACACCAAAGAAAAAATCAAATTACGTATAAACATATTTCCTTATTGTAAGAGCAATTTAAGTTGTGTTCTTTTTCTTAAATATTTGTTTATAGTAAAACTGGGTTACTACAAAGTTATTATTTTTAAGAATTTCTGCGTAACTCAAACAACCTTACGATTAATTATGCGTTTACTCTTAATGATAAATAAATACAACTGAATAATAGTTTTTTAGCAACAGTATTATTATATAATTATGAGTATAAAACTATAAGAACAATAAAGTGATAATAATGTTCGTATTATAAGAAAAAATTCATGACATATGTTACTCATTAATTTAAGTATCTATTCGAAATATAAACCATAATAATACAAAGCAATACAAAACATGCTTTGATAGTTAGTTCCTATTTCAATGTAAAATTTCGAGGTGATCAAAAAATATTATGGTTTACTAGAACATGTTTAATTTATTTTACTCTAAATTATGCCTTTGCTACAGACACATGTCATAATGTTTACTCATCATCTAATTATAATTATATATACCTATATATTATTGAATGTCTACATATTACATTACATAATGTAGTATTGAGGCTTATAAAAGTTTACTTTTTATTTCTATCATTAATTTAAAATCTAACGTACTGCAAATATTTCTATGATTTTTATTAATTTATTATAATATTATAATCTATTTAAGTTTTATATTTTGCTAATGTTACAGTTCTTAATCATACAAAAAACAAAAGTATTAATTTTTTATATTATTTATATATTTTTTATTATAAATTTTAAACATGCATCGTTTCATTATTATTCAACAATTTTATAAGGAAATTACCACTTTAAACAAATCAATAATTCATTATTATGGTAGTTTTCTGAAAACTTAAAAGATATTGCATTTTATCATACAAACACGAGTCTTACCTTAATATTAGTCTTAGTATTTATTTTTGATAGCATAAATTATTTTACAGTCAAAGACTTAAAAATACATAATGGTAGAACGTAAATTCCTTTGTAATGCCAAACATTTGAATGAAGTTAGCTAATATTGACTTAAAATTGTTTTATAATAAAGTATTCAACTTGCTCATCACTCCAACTTTCTTTTAAAACAATTGAATGAACTTAATAATTTATCATTGCTTTTTCAATTAATACATATATATATATTAAAAAAAAATCTAACTTATACTGTATTTTTCGATTACCCAATAAGTGACTGACTAGTATATAAAAAGTGCTATGTATTTTCCATAATTTGTACACCTGTCACTCATATCCAGCCTCGAGCACGGAAATGCAGAAGAACCCTAATATGCATGTTGTATAAACATAGTTTTTCTATCTTATCGAATAATGTTTTTTAATTTTCTTTCTATTATTTATTTTTTATTAGACATTAATAATTCCTTTTTTATATTGTACCATACATTTTTTTTCGAGATGGTCACAATTTTTTATTTCAATAATTATACAAAAGATAAGAAATTTTCTAATCAAGTATAATAGGTATATATTTTATATAGGTATTTATATTGAAAACCCTACGATAAAATATAATTTCTAGGGTCACGCATATTTACGATAGCTATGTATATCACCCATGAATACTCATTAAAATCTTCTTCGGACGAATACTTAAAAACCGAGTAGTTGTAATATATTTTGGCTTTAAGAAAATACTTGGAAGATAAGATATAACAGTATAAAATACATTATTTCTCTCCGTCATATGCAAGTACACATATTATATTGATTATGAATACTAACCTATAATTTAATGAAGTTTACAAAAAGTTTCTACAAAATTAGTTTATAATGTAAATTTTAGGTATTCAAATCTCGGAGACAATAAACTTTGAAAATACGATGACATTTTAACTACTATCCTATTGATAAGAAATTTCTAAATACATCCAATTAATAGTGTAAAATATCTAATGATATTGATAATTCATTATAATTTATATATTTTATTGTATAATCAATAAATATTTAGAAAAAAATGTTACCTGATCTACACTAACGTATAGATATGTTTGGCAACTAATTCATGGTCCATTCGAAAAATAATGTAACTACGTACAAATCATAACTGTTATATTTTCTTTCTTTGGTCATGAATAACTTCTGACCATTAGTTTTAAAGTAGCGGCTGTTCCAAACCGTAAAAAAAGGTCCGATAAATCGTGACCATTAAAATATACAATACATCGTTTGGTAGGAAAATAAAAACTCTCCGATGCACACGCCGAACGTGTTTTGTTGGTTCGGGATGCTTGTAGGGATACGATGTGGAAGACGTTCAGAAAAGGTCTGAATAGCTTTTTAAACTAGTAGTCGAAGATAGGATTTGTAATTATGGTTCGGGTCACATGTGCCAGCCGTATTTTAGAGATAGAGTGATTTAATTTAAGTAAGCGCGGGTGTTATACGCGCGCATGGCGTGCACTTAAAAAAGAAAAAAACGAATAGAACTACATAATGCGTACGATCCTCTACCCCCTCACTCGTCGAATTTATTCGTTTTTCTCGCTACAAAGTCAAAACTGAATAATAAAACCAATCACTGAGATTTTAATTGGAAAGGGTTGCCACACGCTCTACCGTCGCGTCGTCGCGGCTGCTGCGGCTGTGTCAATGTCGCGCCGTGACGTCATCTGCGGAGCTTCGACATCTGGACGGAATCTAATAATTGTCAATCCCTATACATTATAATATTTATATATATATATACATATAGCTGCGACGGCCCTACGGGGTTGGGATATTATTGCCGTTACGCCGCGCGTGTGCATAAATCAATCGGGTGACATGTATATACACACTGGCCTGTGTATTAAAAAATCAATTCGATTAGGTGAGAAATTGAATGCGCCCGCCCCGAGGTGACGTTTTGAAAAAAAAAAATAATAATAAATAAATTGAATGCTAGAAAAGAAATTGTAGAGGGTGCTGCACACCGAAGACCCTCCTTTGAATCGCCAATTTGCATATATGTATATCTATCGGCCGAACACGGATCCATTATAAAGAGTATTTGCCCAGGACCCGCAGTTGTTTGTCAGCGAAAAAAATCACGTTTCTCGTATCCTTGTAATAATATAAAACGAGATGGTTGAATTTCGGTACCGAAAAAATTGTAATAAAATTTTAATAAAAAAAGTCACTTTATCCATAAATTTAACACTCGTTTAATTGTTGCCGTGTTTTATAGTTGCATTTTATTTTAACTCGTGTTGTATACGCACATCGATAATACCGTACATTTGTGATAAAGTATAATTACATGTATTAACTTTTACTTTTTATACATTTTGATTTATTCTTAGATATTTCACCGACATACTTTAATTTTTTTATCGCTCACACTTAATTAAAATGTCAAACGATAATATTATAGTTTAGCTTACATATGTACGGCGTATTCAGTAAAAAAATATTGTCATATGGAATGTGTGACTCGTAGTAAAAAGCACATCAGATTTCTATAACTCATTTGATATAAATAATATACTGTGTTTCAGTTACATTGAAAATGTCGTACACAAATCAACATGTGCGCAAGTGTGATCTTAAAATCGATAAGTCATCGAAATAATATTTTGTGAAGTCCCTACGCACGTTCCAATTGTGAGAAGTTGTAAACGCTATATTTTTATCCAACACAACACAGCACACAGTGGGAGTCTAGGGCACTTAAAACAAGCAGTTGGCATCAATAAAAGAAATCTGCAATAACTGCAAATCTACAAAAGTTATATAGTAAACTTTGAATTATTGATTGTGAGATTTTTTTCATTGTTATGAATTGCTTTCTATGGAAAAACTTCGGTCGTCCCGGAGAATATTTCAAGAAGGAAATAAACGCGACCGAATCGCCGATTATGTAAAACAAATGGTATTACTTTATTGAAACAAGGCGCGAAAATGGGATTGCGCACAGTTTCGGATAGGAAGGAAAGAAAAATGAAAAAAAAAAAAAAAAGAAACTTTTATACTCCACACTTACACGGGGTGAACATCTGCGACGAATTTTTCGCATAACGAAATTTAAAGCTCCGGAAATGGCCGCAGATTTGCCTTGGAATAGCGATGGGCGTTGAGCAGACGGTGGTGCATGCGATCCGCGGTACGGGGGGTGAGGGCAGGAACGTGGTGTGGCGGAGAAAACGAAAACGTTGCGCAAATCGGTGAAAGGCTGAAGTTTATGCAGGAAAAATGCGAGACTATAAGAATGAAAATGTGATGTCGTTAACGAAAGATTTACTTCACGTCGTTACAATCGTTTTAGCCCGTATGATAAACAGCGGCTGTATGCTCATAAGTACTTTTAAGTGCACGGGGTACAACGATTTTACTTATTTGCGCGCGCGCGGTGTAATCAACTTTAATAAGACTTTTTACGGTATTACCTCGATTTCCTATTATTATTCTCTCGCTGCGCGCAGTTATTTTGGAGCTTCTGTTTTTTTTCTATTCTTTATTATCAGTCACGAGCGTTACGCGCACGGTACGATCGTTTT